GACGACTCTGGTCCACGGGGCACCTTGGGAGAGAGAACAGAGTATTCCTTTATCTATAGGAACCAAGGGAGACTTAAGTTTGGTTCTAGGATTGTCTGTGAGATTCAGGGCCTTGCGTAATTCTGATGTTGACTCAGGACAGACCAAGCTTACTGAAGCTGCTTTGGACTGCTAGACTCACTAAACAGTACCTGCATCTCTAGGGAAAAGGCCAGAATTGATCCAATCAGGGAGTAGGAGTGTAGGTCACAAAGAGAACTGTTATTAACCTCACTTCTTAAGGAGAAGTATTTTGTGTGTGGGGGTTTTACCTTCTTAACCTTTTACCTCTTCCCACCTCCATCCCATTGTCCCTCAAGGTTATTTTATGAAAGAAGTCAAAATGAATATAAAATCATATTTATCTAAGGGTTTACCCCCATACTTTGATCAGTTCTCTTGATTGATCAAACTAATAGGCATTGAATGAAGCTGTCTTGATGAAGCTAACCCAGAAAACAAGCAGCCTTCTTTCTCTCTCTCTCTCTCTCTCTCTCTCTCTCTCTCTCTCTCTCTCTCTCTCTCTCTCTCTCCTCTCTCTCTCTCTCTCTCTCACACACACACACACACACACACACACACACACACACACACACACCCCCATACCCATACCCTCTGCTGCTTTTCACAGGAGTGGTCTCATTGATCCATCAGTGCCAGCTGAACTCTAAGGAATCTTTTTGTCCTTGGATCCCAGGAGTATCCCTAGAAGCTGTGAAAGTCGGTCAGGGGCTACCCTGCCCATAGGCTATAATCATCTGTCTAGAGAATGCAAAACTGTAATAGTACACAGGCTAAAAACCTCTCTGCTTTGGAAATCACTTTCATTCTCAGGGTGCCCAAGCCCAGGTTGGCAGGATGAAGGGAGAGAGGAAAATGTATTCATTCAGCAGAAAGTGGGTGTTTATAAGAAATAGGGTGATTGTCAATGGAAAGGAATGATTTTTACAGATAATTATGTATGGATACTAGGTGGCACAGTAGATAGAGTCTTAGGCTTGAAGTCAGAAACACTCATCTTTCTAAGTTCAAATCCAGCCTCAGACACTTAACCAGCCGTGTGACCCTAGGCAGATCACTTAACCCTGTTTGCCTCAGTTTCCTCATCTGTAAAATGAGTTGGTGAAGGAAATGGCAAACTACTTCAGTATTGACAAGAAAATCCCAAATGGGTTCGGGAGGAGTTGGACACAGCTGAAATGACTGAACAACAACAGATTATTTATTTTGATTATGGTCAAATATCTAAATGTATTTTGATAGACATGGTAGAAATTTATATATGCTCTTTAAATAATTATTCAAGTAATGCAGTTGATAGGTCAGATAATCAGCTGATTCTTTTTATCAGCATTGTAGACGTGGCCTGATATCTAGATGAAGCCTTTTTTTCATTATGTCTTATGCATAATCAACTGCAATACATGAAGATTATGGAATTAAAGAGTCTCTTTAGGTTATAGGAGACTGAGTCAGCCAGCTGGCTGTTCCCCAGTGATCCTGGCTCAGTGACATTGCAGAGATAAAATTTATTTGTTGTTAGGAAACAAAGTAGAAATAGTCTTCAAAACATTTGGGACTGGGATATTGGGACAGTCCAGAAGTATATGAGGGTAGTATACAGCTACTCTCAGGGTCAGACCTTTGGCATGTGATTCTGTCCTTGCTCTGATTTTATTTTAGAAACAATAAAAATTGTTTTCATTTGCTGGATCATCTGTCTTCTTATTCTAAAGACCAGGATAAGACAACAGTATTAAAAGATATTGGGTGAAAAAAAAAAGATATTGGGTGGCAACTAGATGGCGAAGTGGATAAAGCTCCAGTCTTGAAGTCAAGAGGACCTGAGTTCAAATGTGGCCTCAGACATGTGACACTCACTAGCTGTGTCACCCTGGGCAAGTCACTTAACCCTCATTACCTCACCAAAAAAAAAAAGACCTCATAGGGTTGATATTTTTTGTTTTACTACCATGCTTTCTTTTGCTGGAACTTTCTCCAAGTTTCTGCTGCATGCTCCAGGGTCTGTCCTAGGCCCATTTCTCACTCTGTACTCTCTTGTTTAGTGATTTCATCAGTTCCTATGAGTTCACATCTCATCTCTATGCATGTGATTCTCAGATCTGTTTATCCACCCCTAACTTCTCCTGACCTCCACTGTCATCACCAACTATTAGACATTTCAAGCTGGATGTCCTGTATATTCTCAAACTCAGTATGTCCAAAAAAGAACTCATTATCTTTCCCCACCCCCCAAACCCTTCCTTCTTTGGAATTTCTCTGTTACTATAGAGGGTACCATCATCCTCCAGATTGCCCTAACTTGCAACCTTGGTGTCATTCTTAATTCCTCACTTTTTCTCACAGTTCACGTTCCCCCCAGTATCTAATCTGTGCCAAGACTTGTTGATTTCATCTTTGTGACATCTCTGCATATTCCCCCTTCTCTCCTCTGAGACTGCTCCCACCCTGGTGCAGGCCCTCATCACCTGATGCTTGGACTATTGCAATAACCTTCTAGTGGATCTCTCTGCTTCATTTCAACCCTGACTTCAGTGTACCTCCACTCAGCTACAAAAAGTGCTCTTCCTAAAGATCACACCTTCCCTCCACACATATATACATACACACATGAAACTCCAGTGGTTCCCTCTTACCTCTAGGATCAAATATAAAATCCTCCATTTGGCTTTTAAAGCCCTTCATAACCTAGTCTCTTCCTACCTTTCCAGTATTCTCAAACTTTTCTCCTCCCCATGTAGTCTTAAGATCTGTTTACACCAGCCGTCTTACTGTTCCTCATGCCTAACACCCTATCTCCTGACCTTTTCACTGGAATGTTGTCCCTTCTCACCTCTCTCTACCCCTTGGCTTCCCTTAAGACTGAGCTCAAATCCCACTTCTTACAAGTAGCCTTTCCCACTTTTCACTGCTATTGCACAGTCTGAGATTACCTCCTATTTACACTGCGTATATGCTATGTGTACATTGTTATTTGGTGTTTTTCTTCCTCGTTAAAGTGTAAACTCCTTGAGGGCAAGGATTGTGTTTTTGCCCTTTTTTGTTTTCCCAGCCCTTTTGCACAGTGCCTGATATATAGTAGGCACTTGATAAATGCTTGTTGACTGACAAGCTGACCGTGCAGGAAATTTGGCTTTTCTTTTAGACAGGAATTATTGAGGCAATAGTATGTTTTCCCTCATAGAGGTGTTGTGAATTGTAGAGGATAGAGTGTCTTCTTATTTCCAGAGTAGCAATTGCTTCATTCTTTGTGTTTGTGTCCCCAGTACTCGAACAATACTCAGCACATAGTAGGTGCTTCATAAATGCTTGTTGATTGATTAATTGATGACTGCTGCTGCCTTAGCCTTCCCTTGGCTCTGTGTTCCTCTTTCCTGTGGCCCTTAGGGAAATCCTAGTGTATACTGAAGCCATGGGGCAATATCATATAGCCGCATTTAACAACTTGTGCTCTCATCTGAAGCTTAGACAAATGCCACAGCCTTGTTATCCCTCTTTTCGGTTGTCGCTGAGCCCACCTTGAGATATTTTGACTGTTCTGGTTTATACAAAATATTTTTGGTGATCATTATGACAGAGTTATGCACCAACCTTATATAAAAGTAGTCTCTTATTAGCCTTTGTGGGATTTTGGTAATAATTGCTTACATTTATCTGGTGCTGTAAGGTTTACAAATTACTTTCCTCACTTCCTGTGACTTAGGTCTTGTAAGTTCTATTTGCCTTTTCACACATGAGGAAACCTAAGCTCAATATAGGTTAATTGATTTGCCTAAAGTCACATGCCCAGCAAGTGGCAGAGCCATGATTTTAACCTGAGTCTGGTGATTTAAGTTTCATGCTCTTTGCACTTCTGAACTCCTTCTTAATAGACCTTGCATGGTTTGTATAATTATTGTCATTTTAGTTCTGAGATTTTCTATTCCTAAAATGTCATGGAACTGAAATTAGTAATAGAATCTCATTTCAATTCTAAAAATCTAGGTTTCTTGTGGAAAATCGGGTGAGCCCAGATATATTGTTAGCTACTTATAACATAAAGACAATCACTTAACTAGCAATCTTAGTTATAAACCAAATATTATATTAATATAGACCATAGGAGCTAAAAGGGATCTTAGAGATCTTCTGGTCTACCCCCTCAGTTTTGGGGTTAAAGAGAGTATTGGGATGCAAAGGGGTTTGTATCTATGGTCAGACCATGAGTAGAGGTTGACTAAGAAGAGAATCCAGGTCTTCTAACTTTCAGACTACAACTCTGTCCAGTCCTTTCCTTAGATTTATTCTAAATCATCTCATTGCCTCTAAAAACTAGAAATAAAATCTGTGAGAGGGAGGTAGCATGGTGGATAAAGAATCGGCCTAGCTGTATGGTTCAACTTCTCAGTAGCCCAGATGCTGAACTAGTTTCTAGCTGAATTAGTTGCTGGAAGGAGTTTCTTTAACTGGAATTTCCTACGCTGATAAAAGGTTCAGAACCTTCCCCACAACTCCCCTAGTTCCCCTCCAATAAAATCTATGGTTTGAGCTCCAGTGAGTTTTGCTTTGAAGTATATTTTGCAGTTCAGTGGTACAACACAAATGTGAGTACAACAGTGTAAATAATGTAAATGCAACTGTAGTAACATCAATGTTAGTTGTTATATGGGATAGCATTTCATATATATATATATATATATATATATATATATATATATATAGGGGAAAAGGGAAACAAAGTCATAGGGAAGAGAAGTTAATATCAACAAAAATAATGGAAAGGAGCTTTTTGGAAGCTAAATACCTAGTATACTGTTTTGAGAAGGAGGCAGTATTTGCTGAGGCTCAGAGCTTAGGTTTAATAAAGAGATCTGGGATATTGCTTGGATAGAAAGAGGGGGATTATTAATTCTGCTTAGTATGCCACAAACATTTTCGTTCTTTGCACCTGACACCCCCAGGAGGATTGTACCAAAGGGGAAACTGATGGATTTTATCACCTCCATGGCTATCATCCCCCTGCTCGTTGGCTGCATGGGAATCTTCGGTCTCTTCAAGTTGCTGCAGTGGATACGAATGAAGGCCTACATCCAGGATTCTGTAGTCGTGATTACAGGGGCAACCTCTGGACTGGGGAAAGGTAGGTTCCCAAGTATGTTGCTGGCATGAAGAGGAGTCAGAATATTCCTTTCTCCCCATTGCCATTTCTAGACTCTTCCTCTTCTGCATTCACTCAGCAGCCTCTCCCTAAAGTCTAAAGCTTGCTGACTGTTGTCTACTGGCTCTCAGCTAATTTTCTCTCCTTTCTGTAGGAGTTCAGTGCCTAGTTGACAGTCTCAGAACTTCTCTATCCCAGCTTCTGTTCTTGTACTAGAAGACTTTAACATACCTGTTCATGTTCCCTCAAACACCCTAATCTTATCTCCCAGTTCCTTACTCTATTCATCTCCCACGACCTACTCTCCTGCTCTACCTGAGCTACAGAAAGGGATAGTTAATTACACTTTTGATCTTGACATAACCTATAACTGTTCCACTTCCATAATCAAGAACTCTTAAATTCCTTTATCCAATCATAACTGCCTGTTATTCCATTTCCCCCTATGCCATACTTCTCCTAAGCTTATTTTCAATCCTTGTTATGATCGCCAATCCCTCTATTGCTCATTACTTTGTGGGGCCATTGACCACTGCTCTCTCATTACTTTCTTCTTTTTTTAATCTAGACTCTTAAGTTTACCATTTTGACCCTGTCCCATTACTACTCACATTTTACCAAATCCCAATCCTGGATTACTCTCACCATCTACTTTCTTCTGTTGTATTCCCATGCTGCTAAATTGATCTGGAGAAAGTCATGGAAATGTGCTGCCTAGGCCGACTCCAAATTTATGTTATCTGGACCTTCACTCTAGCAAGTTAATCCTTTCACTCCACTCTAATTGATTTTCTAACTCACCCCCTACAAAAACTGTTCCAAACTTTCTTTTTTCTTTCCCTCCTCTTATACCACTTGCTCTCTTTAATGGGAAAATAAGGACATGGATCATGAGCTCTTTCTTTACCCTATAACATCCCCCATTTTCTCCTTTTTTACTCCAGTCTGTGATGAAGAGGTGGTACTTCTTGCCAAGGTCAGCACCTCTACGCATACCCTTGATATTTCATTCCTGCCATCTTTTCTAGCATATTGTCCCCACAGTCTTCCTCCTCCTCTCTCTAATCTTCAGCCTTCCTTCTCTGATTCCTTCCTTACTGTCTACAAAAATGGCCAGTTCTCCTCAATTATCAAAAATTCCTCACTTGATACTGTTATCCTATATCTCTCCTTTCTTTCTTAGCCAAGCTTCTAGGGGGGAAAAAAACCCAGCTGTCTGCAATCAATGCCTCCTCTTCTCCCCTTACTCACTTCTCAACTCTTGGCAGTTTGGCTTCTAACATCATCACTCAACTGAAACTGCTATCTTCAAAGTTACCTGCCATCTCTTTTTTGAATTTAATTTTTATTCAATTAGCAAGCATTTCTTTTTCTTTTCCCTACCACTCTATGGACAAAAAAAAAATCCTTGTAAGAAATATATACAGTTAAGCAAAACAAATTCCCACATTTGTCATGTAAAAAATGTATGTATTTATACAATACATTCAGTGATGTAAAGGAAAACAACTTTGAGAGACTTAAGAATTCTGATCAATGTCATGACCGCTTATGATTCCAGAGGACTCATGATCAAATGTGTTGCCCACCTTCTGACAGGTGATAGACCTAGAGTGCAGACGAAAAAATACATGCATACATACACACACACACACACACACACACATATTCTTTAAATGTATTGGATATATGAGACCTTTGTTAGAAAAACTTGCTGCAAAGATTTTTTTTCCAGTTACTTCCCTTCTAATCCCAGTTTCCCTTCTGATCTTATCTGCATTCAACCTAGACCTTAATTCCTTTTCCTTCTATTTCCTTTTTTTTTTTAGATCATCAGAATAGGTTCTCTGTCATATTAAACTCTGTCTGTGATCCTTGATAGTGATAATAGGGTTCTGAGGGAACATGTGTCATCTCTTCATATTATAATGTAAAACAGTTCGTTTTTGTTTAGTCGCTTATGATTGCTCATTCATATTTATCCTTTTATGTTTCTCTTCACTCCCAAGATTGGAGTGCTGGTCTTTCATCCGGAATGCTTACAAATCCTCTGTTTCATTAAAGGTCCATTTTCCTCTTAGAGGATTAAACTCAGTTTTGCTGGGTGAATTAGTCTTGGTTGTAAGCCTATATACCTTTTGCCTTCTAGAGTATTGTATTCCAAGCTCTTCATTTCTTTGTAGTAGTAGCTCCTAAATCTTCTATGATCTTAACTATGGCTCTTCAGTGATGGCTTTTTTTTGTCTGCTTGAAATATTTCTTTCTTTGACCTAGAAGCTCTCGATTTTTTCTGTAATGTTCCTGAGAGTTTTTATTTTGGAGTTTCTTTCAGAAAGTGACCAGAAGATTTTTTGTTTTTACTTTGCCCTCTTGTTCTAAGAGATAGGCAGATTTTTAAAAAAATAATTTCTTAAAAGATCATGTTTAGACTTTTTTTTGGGGGGGGCGGTGCGGTTAATAGTTTTCAAGTAGTGCAATGATTCTTAAATTATCTCTCCTTGATCTGTTTGCCAGGTCAGTTGTTTTTACATTTATGCTTCGTCTTTTGACTTTATTTTGATATTTCTTGTCATCTCATAGAATCATTAGTTTCTCTCTAATTTTCAGGTAATCTATTGCCAGATTCAGGGACTCGGTCTTCATTCATGTAGGAATGTCAAAGACAAGCAAATCATATGGGGACTTGTTTGAGAGGAAGACATTTATATCTGCTAACTTTTCTTCTGCCTTCAACCTTTTAGGAGCTATATCTCTTAGGATTATTTGATCCTTACTTCATATGACTATCTTTTTGGACAGGTTTGTCTTTGAGTAAACAATAATATTGTCAACTAAGGGAATAACATTTTTATATTCCCATTTTAGGAAGCCTGCATCCCAAATTTGTGAGGGGATCAAATATGTTTATTAAGGAGGAAATCCCAGAAATCTTACAACAGAGAAGAACTGTGTGATAGCCTAGATAAGTGATAGTTCTGGGGATAACAGCTCTTATCTGACCCTCACTACTCCCCATCTTACCCTCTTTTTTTTTCCCTGCAAAACTTTCCTAAGGACTGAAAATTGAATGCTTTTCCAGCCTGTTGTTCTCAGTTCCTCTCTGCCCAGGGTTCATTTCCTCCCATTTTGGCTTTGCTGCTCTCAGAGCTAGTTGTAGTGCTTGGGCTCTCGTTTTTCAATAGCTATTTATATACTGACCTTCCTAAGATTTACTCTCCTTAGTTCTGTGCTCTTCCTACCCTTTTGGGGCATATCCCAAAGTAGTTCATTGTATTCCTTCATCAGACCTGCATCAAAAATTTCTATATTCCTTTGAGAATGACGGAGAACATCAGAGAATATTCCTCTTCTCTAAAATGTTGCCATCTGAGTTTAGGAGAAATCTTTCTGACAGTTTCTTCTGGAAGCTTGGCTCATTGCTAAGAGGGATAGCGTGTTCTGGGATGGCTTCAGCTTGTAGCACTGCACTGACTCCAGAAGATAGTGCCCACTACAGCTACACAAAAGTATGCCTTTCGCCATGATGGATCCTGTTCTTACTTTCGCCACAGCTTCTGTGCCTGCATCCTGGCTCATACATTCATTCAGTAAGCATTTAGCAATTACCTGCCATCTGTCATATGCCATATACTGTGCTCAGCAGGGGAGATACAAAGACAAAAACAAAGTCCTGTCTTGGAGGAACTTGTGTTCTATTGCCAGTCACATGCCTGGCCCACTGAATGAATTTATTAACTCTTGTTTAAGAGAGTGCTGTACAAGTATGAGCACAATTGAAAATATCCTTGTTTAATGGATACGTATCTTTCTCCCAGAGAGTTCGGTGCAAGTGCATTTTTTTACATACAGAAATAATGTACATATATAGATGTGTAAAATTGGTGAGAGAAATTTGGCACTGAGGTTGAGCAATAGGAAGGAAGATCATTTGGAGTGGCTTTTAGTGAGAAGTGGAGGGGTTTAAAACAGTAGAACTAAGGGGCAGTGAGGTGGCACAGTGGATGGAGCACCAGCCCTGGATTCAGGAGGACATGAGTTCAAATGTGGCCTCAGACTCATAACACTTACTAGCATGTGACACTGGGCGAGTCACTTAACCCCATTGCCTAGCCAAAAGAAAAAAAACAAACAAACAAACAATAGAACTAGGATGATGCTTAATGATGAACTTCCTTCCTTGAGAAGAAGAGCTCTTAATGTCCAGAACAGTCTTGTGACTTCCTATCCCATCCTGCTATAATTTCTTATAGTTACAAAGAAGTTTGAAACAATACTGGGGAAAGAGTATTTAGACAGGGACAGGGAACCTGTGGCCTCGAGACCTGTGTGTGGCCCTCTAGGTCCTCAAGTGCAGCCCTTTGACTGAATCCAAACTTCACAGAACAAATCTCCTTAATAAAAGGATTTGTTCTGTAAAACTTGAACTCAGTCAAAAAGCCATGGGGGTTAAGTGACTTGCCCAGGGTCACATAGCTAGTAAGAGTCACATGTTTGGTCTGAGGCCAGATTTGAACTCAGGTTCTCCTGACTTCAGGGCTGGTGCTCTATCCACTGTGCCACCTAGCTGCCCCTACTATTACTCTTTTTAACAGACTTAGCTAGAAGTCTAGGATAAATGGCAGAGCTGTTGCTAATTAGCATTTGGGTTATGTCAGACTGGTGGGGGTGGGAGGGTTCACAGTGCTTGACCATACTATGCCTCTTTTAATGAGTTGCTTTAAGTTTTAATTAACATCATAACTCGGATTTTATGTTTTTAATATTCTAGAAAAACAGTTCAGAAATAGGAGCTGTGGGGCTCTATTATGAAAATGAGAGTCAGGTTTGAGACCAAGGGCCCCAGAGATAGGAGGCAGTATAAGTGGAGATGGGAGGTATTGGCAGAGGTGCATGGGACAGTCATCTGTATCTTCTGAATTCTCAGTAAGTATCTATTTAATTACATTAGTAGAGAATGATTTTGGATCTTTTCGGCTATAAAACTTCTGTTCTTATTATATCTTCCTTTATAGAATGTGCTAAGGTTTTTTATGCAGCTGGTGCTAAGTTAATTCTTTGTGGACGAAGTCAAGAGAAACTAGAAGAGCTTGTCAGAGAGCTGTCTGCTACTCACTATAGAAAGGTAAGAATGGAAGGAGGGAGATGTGCATTTGAGTCCAGGAGAGTCAGGCATTTCATTCAAAGCTTCTTCATATTCTCAAACTGGAGGCATGTTGTTGCACATCAGAACTGAACCAGAGGCAAACAGACTAAAGAACTACGTTCCCAATCTCACTGAGGAGCACTTGGTGCTTTCTCAGTTAAGAGATGGCAAACTGTGTAGCTTTGGAATTACTGGGAATGTGGCTGAAATTTTGGTTTCCTATTATGGTTGCTCATTCCCTACCACATGGGGATAGATAGATAGATAGATAGATAGATAGATAGATAGATAGATAGATAGATATAGTACCCAATTTTCAAGTAATAGCTGGTCATTTAAAAACATATATTACAGTTACATATATACACATATAGAATTACATACATATAGTTATAGGTGCATATTTCTACATATGTCATCTATGTCTATATATTATATATATAGTTTTTATATCATTTTAATTTTTAAATGCCTCATCCATCTCCTCTACCCAACAAGTCATCCCTTATAACAAATAATAAAAAAGGCAGAAAAAAGTAATTAGTGAGACCAAACAACATATCAGTTATGTGTGATCGCATTGGTCATTTTTTTAAAAATGAAAAGAATCAGTTCTCATGTATCTTTCTTTCCAGATCATTTTCACCAATCCTAACACCCCCTGTCACAATTAATTTGATTCTTGTCAAAATCTGTTGGTTTTTTTTAAATTTAATAAAAGGGAGGCTTTGTCATTGCCATCACAGTGTTTGTACATAACAAACACCTTATAAATGATTGTTGAATGAATGAGTGAGCCATTTGATCCTTTCTAGAATACTCAATTCCCTTAATATCAGGACTAGGAATGTTCTGTGTAGCATGAAAGGAGGTGGTTGTAGATAAAATATAAGGAAGTATAAAAGAGCCCCTGGATAACATTGGTGTTGTGGGAGTGGGGAGAGGGGTGCCAACAGTAGCTATCTTGTAAGTTGATAGTATCACCTCAAGCTTTTACCATGTGTTGTTATATTCCTCCCTTATGAGGTATAACAAAATAAAAATTAGGGGCAGCTAGGTGGCACAGTGGATAAAGCTCCAGCCTTGGAGTCAGGAGGACCTGAGTTCAAATATGGCCTCAGACACATGACATTAGCTGTGTCACCCTGAGCAAGTCACTTAACCCCAATTGCCTCACAAAAAAAAAAAGCAAAACAAAAATAACAAGACTTTTAAAAACATACAAACCAAAGCTTACACGTGCAGGTAAGTATTGCCCTTCAAAACAGTCTTCTTGGGAGGCCAAATTTTACAGAGCACATCTCCTTAATAAAAGGATTTGTTCTATAAAACTTGGACTCAGTCAGAAGGTTGTACCTGAGGACCTAGAGGGCCACATGTGACCTTGAGGCCACAGGTTCCCCACCCCTGGCTAGCCCTATAGAACCTCACTCAAAAACCTGTTTTTAGTGAGCACTAATGCATTTTCAAAACTCTGCTTAAATCTGCGACCTTTCCTTTGACCTGCCTGTCTATCATCCAGTTTCTTTGGCTTCATACTGTTGATTCTGCCTACTTCCTTGTATCCCATTGAACAACAGTAACAGTTTTCATTTGCATAGCGCTTTGCCATTTACAGATTGCTTTTCTCACAACAACCACGTAACAGATGCAGCGCCAGGACAAGTGTTATATTCCTAGGACGTTGAGACTCAGAGAGATATGGTCACATGCTAATAAATGGCAGAGCTAGAACTTGAACTCAGATCTTCTAGATTGGTCTGGTCATTATTCTTTTGTATACATTACGCATTGTTGCTAATTATATTATCACTCTATAAAAACAGATTCTTTTGCCTCTGGCCATTATTGGACAACCATTTATTGACAGCTCACCCCTCATTTGCAGAAGCAACCTCTTTACATCTGGCTCATCATCAAATCTCCCATACCAATGAAAGATTCTCTGCTACCCCATGGATCCTTCACCAACCTTTCCTTACTATAAGGTGACAGGGAAAAGGACACTGTAGAAAGTGTCCTTAATGTATTTTCAGTTGGCCATTTTCATGGAGAGTAATGAGGCAGTGGTGGGAACTCTCCAGCTGAAGGGTTTCAGAGGAGGCTGGAGGATGGGTATGTTAGACAAAAACTGGCAAACATATAAAGCCCTGAAGACTAGCTGAGATAACCCAGAGAAGCAAGAGTTTTAAAAAGACCCTAAAAATATATTTTCTGTAAGTGAATAAGAGCATTAGAGGAAAAATAATTAGAAAAGAAATGAGATCTATGGGAGATAGAATTTGAAAGGAAATTAATAGCTTAGCACAAGAGGTACAAAATTTTGCCTGGGACAAGTTCCTGAAAATTAGAATGGACTAAATTGAAGCTTATGACTCCATGAAAAAAATAAGAAGAATTAAAACAAAGTCATAAGACTGGGGGAAAAAATAGAAGAAACTGTAAGGTATCCCATAGCAAAAACAAATCACTTGGAAAACAGATTAAGGAGCGATAATTTAAGAATCGTTGGACTATCTGAAAAGCCATGATCAAAAAAAGAGCCTAGACATACTATTTCAAAGTCTTAAAAACAAAACAAAGCAAAAAAAATTGCTCAGATCTCTTAGATATTTTCTCTGATCCCTATGACCTCTCATACCTCTCCAAAACAGAAGTAATGTGCCAAAGGCAAAACAACTTCAGCTGTCTCCATTGGTCTAGGATACTCAGAATCCAAAAGAAAATTGAAAAAAGCAAAAAAAAAAAAACCCCACGAACTAATGCTTACTAGTCATGAGCTCATTCAGCACCCTGCCCAGACCTCCCATTAGTGAGGCTGCTGTTATTGTCTGTCCTTCGTTTCTGAAATGACCAGTGACATCACAGGCTGATAGCTTGTAAGTCATTTGGATATAAGTGAGGCGGAGCTGCACAGACTCATCAGCTTTTCTCTCTCTCTCTCTCTCTCTCTCTTCCTGAGTTATCCAAGTCCAGTGGCAGGACAGAAGTCAAGATGACTAGCTGTAACCAGGGATGCAGTAGATGACCTTGGTGTCTTTGACAGTGTGGCTGTTGGGACAAATTATTGGCATGTACCCATTTCACATGCTCAGGGTAGACATCCCCCTCTTAGTTACCCCTCAGTCTGGGTTAGCCTGTCTGCCATGATGGTTTCCCAGGGTATGGACACTGTGCCAACTACAGCTTCTTGAAGCCACAGGTGAGAGTTGGATGAATCAGGGGGACACCAAAGGTGGATGAGCAGCCCCGAAAAAGGCTGGGCAAGCCTTCACACCAAAGGTGCTGGTCCTCCCTGAGCACCCCATACACTTCATGAGGGTGCACTAGCCAACCCGCAGACCCAGCAAGGGTCCAAACAAAACCTTACCCCACAACCAGCCCCCCTCCCTCTTTGCAGTGCCATGGAGACTTGGTTCCAGCTATGGAAGTTTACTCAGACAGCAACAGCCAGCCAGCAGCCCTTCAGCAACAAAAGCACATTGGAGACCATAACCCAGTAGCACCAGCCCAGCAGTCCTGCTGGTGCCCAGTTGAACAGCAGTCCTGCTGGTGCCAGGGTGGACAGCCCAGAGCACTAGCACAGCATCCAGAGAACTGAGGAATAGAGGGAGCAGGATATATCACCAGAACAAGACACTGTGTGTGTGTGAGACTGTGCAGTGCTCCACTAAGCTTGAAGGAAAGCACACACCGTCTCTCTGGGGCCAATTCAGACCACCCAAAAGTCACTTGGGACAGAGGCCTAGGCTGGTAAATTGTGAATTGCCCAGTATGGAAGGAGTCTGAGACTCTGAGATCCAGTCCCCAAGGAAATCACTATAGGGGGTACAGTCAGAAAGTGAAGAGGGGGAAATGGGGGGGTTGGGGAGGGTGGGGCTGAAATTACCAAAGATCTCAGGAAGGAGAAAATTCAAAGACTGAACAAAAGCAGATAAATTAACAGGGAAAACATTTGTAACTGAAGAAAATATAGTCCCTAGATCTAGTAAACGAGTTCAGACATCTGTGAATCAATGTTGGAAAACAAAGGAAAAATTTTGATCCAACACTTGATGAGACAAAATAGCTGGACCAATTTATAGATCCACCAACAGAGCATCAGTTTGCCTGTCTTCTAGAAACTGTCCCAACAATAGTCAATTTTTCCTTTTTGTCATGTTGGCCAATCTGATAAGTGTCAATTGGAACCCTAGAGTTGTTTTAACTCTCTCTCTAATTTTAGTGATTTTTCATATGGCTATTGATAGTTTGTATTCCTTTGTTTTGAGAACTCCTTCCTTTTCTGTGTGTTTTTTCTTTTTTTCATCTATGTTGATTATGAGTTCTGTGCCTCTACGCTGATTGCATTAGAAAACTGCCCTTTTCCTATCTCATCAGTTGCTTCTCTTTGTTTCTTCAAAATTTCATTCTTGAGAGCTTTCCATTTTTTCTGGGCTTATTTCCCCTAAGGAATTTTAGGCTATGAGATCCTTTTTACCCCTTTTATAATCCCTTTGAAATTTTCACCCAAAATATAGATTGCATGTCAGACTGTGCCTGAATTTCTTGTAGGTAGCATAGGGGATAGAATTCTGAGCCTGGAGTCAGGAAGACCTGAGTTTAAATCCAGCCTTAATTACTAGCTATGTGACCCTGGGAAGTCGCTTAACTTTTGTCTGCCTTTTTCCTTATCTGTAACATAGGGATAATAGTAGCAACCTCCCACAGTTGTTGAGAGGACCAAATGAGATAATATTCATAAAATGCTTAGTACAGTTCCTGGCACATAGGAGGTACTTAATAAAAGTTTCCTTCCTTCCTTCCTTCCTTCCTTCCTTCCTTCCTTCCTTCCTTCCTTCCTTCCTTCCTTCCTTTCTTTCTTTCTTTCTCTTTCTTTCTTTTTTCTTTCTTTCTTTTTTCTTTCCTTCCTTCCTTTCTTTCCTTCCTGGTCCTTAGACAACAGTTACATGGTTTCTCCCTTTCCAGTTTGGAAAACTAGAAAGCTCCTGCTTTATGTTTTTGTCTGCTGTTTGCTATCTGCTTTTCATTACCTTTTGGAATCCATAGTGAAGTCCATGTCAACATCAAGCCTTAGGAGGTCTTTAATGAAGGGGCCTCTATTATTCTAATTTATATTGTAATTATTTCACTATGTCATTACACCTTATAGATTGTAAGCTTTTTGAATGAATGAAAAATCATTAATTAAGCACACACAAAGTGTCAACCCGCAACTGAGGGCTGGAGATACAAAGACTGTCCTGGCCCTCAGAGAGCTTACATTCTAATGGAAAAACAGTAAGCATCTAGGAGTAGTGGCTTGGGTGGGGGGCCGTCTGAGATTAGATTGTCACCAGCCAGGATCCTGGCAGAGTTGAACTGGAGGGGAGGGAAGAGCAGAAGAAAAGAGGGCAAAGTAGTTAGCTAGAAAGGAGAGAAGACATTGAATTGGCTAGAGTTTGCATGATTTGGGAGACCCTGGCACAGGACCACCCAGCATGGTGTGTCCTCATCAGAGAGGGTGTAGGGCTCCCTGAGCAAAGCAGAGCTGAAGTAGGTCAAAAATAAGCCCCAGATGTGCAGATTTAGAGAACCCCTCACAAATGTTCACATGGACTATTTATGCCCAAACTGTGGTAGAGCCTTCCAAGTTCATATCAGTCTGATCAGCCACAGTTGGACACACTATAACTTGACTCTAACAAAGTGATCTCATTTGGTCCTCTTCTAGAGTAAACCATATACATATATATATATATATATACACACACACACACACACACACACACACACACACACACACACACACACATACATACATACATACACACACACACATATACACATACCATATATATATATATATATACACACACACATACATATATATATACACATATATGTACACGCATATACATAGACATATGTATACTCCAAGAGAGGCAGTCACCAATGGGGAGAAAGGGACCCCAGGGTAGGAATCATATGGAGCATGGTCACTGGTTTGGGTATTTAGTCTGGGAGGCTCCTGGAGAGGAGTGTCTGAGAGGAAGGAGTGCCTCCTTGAAGGCAGAGATCTTGTATATTTTTTTAGGAGGAAGTCTTTGCCCTCCTCCTAGTACTTAAATAATGCATTGTTTATAGTAGGCCTTCAGTAAATGTTTGTTGAATGCATTGTTCAGCATCCTACACCTTGTGCAGTATCTTAATAGTTTATTTATGCAAGGCTTTTCTGTTTTGGCTCCCTCCCACATTGTACCTTGTTGCATAAGCAATCCATATTATTATTAATATTATCGTATGAACTTAATCTCTTTCTCCCCAGTCCTACTGTTTCTTCTGACTTCTCTGTTTCTATTAATGGCAGTCACATATGCTTGAAATGTGAGCATTTTCTTTAATTACTCCCTTTCCTTCGCTTCCTACATCTAATCGGTTACCAAGTTCTGTCTGTTTTACTTACACAATATCTTTCAATAACTGTCAGATCCTTTCTGCTGGCACTGTCCCATTATAGGCCCACATTACCACACATAGACTATCACAATAGCTTTCCAACTGATTTCCTCATCTTGTCTTTTCCCCACCAACCCATCCTGTACTAGTACCTGACAGCAGACCATGCATCTGTTGTCTAAGGACAAGGAAGGAAGGAAGGACAGAAGGAAGGAAGGAAGGAGAAGGAGGGGGGGGGGACTTTTATTAAGTACCTCCTATGTGCCAGGAACTGTACTAAGCATTTTACGAATAAACCAGATCATATCATTTCTTCAGTGCAACACTTCAGAGTCCAAACTCCTTGGACTGGCATTGTAAACCCCTTTACAATCTGCCACCCTACCGATGTGGGCTAATTTCATACTAATACCTAACCTTTATTCTATGCTTCAGTAAAACAAGGTTACTGCCTATAGTACATATTCTGTACTTTCCTGAATCATCCATCATAACATGTAGAAATATGTTAGTTCCAGCCATTGTCAATATTTTTATCACCATCATCTTCATTGTCATCAACATCTTTTAAGTACCTAATTGTACATAGCGACTGCTAGTTGTACACAAGGAGTTGTTACACAAACCTCATTCCTGCCTTTTAGACATGTATAGTATAGACATGTATACCTTGGCTTAGTCATACATGTACCTGTATCCCTAGTGTATCATAGCCAGCTCTCAAATAGCCAAGGAAACAGCAGACAGCTATTGAAAAGATCATTGACATTCATAGTTTCGAGCCCTTCTCTTACCAATTTTTTAGTCACTTACCCTAGTGAAATCAGTGTACATTAATTTCATCTTTTCTTTCTTCTGCCATTCTTTCAGTACAAGAGCTGATGACTGTGGTTGAAAGGCAGCCAACCAGTAGAGGGGGAGCTGTAACAACCAAGATCCTAGATAATCTATAACCTGGATAATTAGTCTCTGATTAATTAAAAGTTCACTTTATTAGCAGTTAACTTTTCCTCTCCTAAGTAAGTAGATTCAGAATATGATGAACATAAAGGATTAGGAAATGAAAAGAAATCTCTTTGGAGAAACTTGTAGGTGCCTTGTAATGTATTATTAATGGCAAAATATCCATGTCTTTTGGGTTTGAATACTGGTCCTACTAGAACTAATGGATCTCAGTTATTCCAGGATGGCCAGCATACCTGCAAGATAAACCAGTAATTAAATATCTTGAGTTCACTACTAAGAAGTTCCTTATATTATAGCCTTTGGAGGAGAATAATTTGTGGTTCAAGCTGAAAGCTTTTCATACCATGTTGAAGCACTGTATGCAAGGAATGCTTTAAAAGGCACAAAGATGAGGGTAATTATAACCTGGTTAATTTTATGCCAGGTCAGTACATCTTCTGAGGTCCTAGGTGACTTTCCAATCAAAGATCAAATTGGCCACATTTGAAGTTCTCAAAACGTTTGATTCTTTTCTGGTTTCCCATAGCTTGGCAAAACATGAATATGTTGATCAAATGATTGTTACTCAGAAGCTGAATTGTGTTACTGTCTTGTTTGTTCAAATTCAGACACACAAGCCTCATGTTGTAGTCTTTGACCTTGCTGATTCAGACACTATAGTCCCTGCAGCGAATGAAATCCTAAAATACACTGGTCATGTGGACATATTAATCAATAATGCAGGGATCAGCTATCGAGGCACAATAATGGATACTGCCCTGGAGGTGGACAAAAAAGTGATGGAGACAAACTACTTTGGTCCAGTTGCGTTAACGAAAGGTACAATGACTGTGGATTTCTTTTAAATAGAGGAATGTCATTTTGGAGTTTACTTAACTTGTCCCCTTGTAAGCTGACATATAGTAGGTGCTTAATAAATATTTACCAATTGATAGTAATAGGGAAGTTGGGAAGAGGAATTTGGTAGGAAAGATGAGTTTTGGTTTTGGACATTTTTAGACCAGTTCAGGATCTCAAAGGCAGTTAGTGATGTGAGACTAGAGCTCAGAAGAGAGATTAGGACTAGATTAGGATCTGTCAATCATCTGCAATCCAGAGAGGAGAGAGTATCCAGAAGAAGATGATAAACAGTGTCAGAGGCTGCAGAGAAGTAAAGAATGGGTATTGAGACCATTAAGTTTGTCAATTGGTAACTTTGGAGAGAGCAATTTTAGTTAAATGATGAAGTTGGAAGCCAGATGGTAGAATTTAAAATTGAATGAGAGGAGAAGTGGTGGCTTTCTCAAGGAGTTTAGCCATCAGTGAGCAGATATAAAATGATTGATAGCTAGGAAGGGTTTTTTTTAAGGATGAGGGAGATATGGCTGTGTTTATAGGCAACAGGAAAGGAACTAGTACATTGGTAGATATTGAAGATTAGATGGAGGGGAGAGAATGCTAGAGGAGATGGGATGGGGTTTAGGGTGTGTATGGAGGGTTTGGTCTTTGCTAGCAGGAAGGACACCTCCATCAGAGATTGGAAAGAGGAATATGGTGCAGGATGATTTTTAGGGATATGAGATGAGGAGGAGGAGAATAGATTAAATATCCTCTATTTCTTTGGTGAAGTACTGAGGCAGGGTACTCAGCTGAAAGGGTGGGGGAAAAGGGTGCCATCAGAGGCTTGAGGAGGTTTGAAACAGTTTGGAACAACTGGCTCTTGGTGAATGAGAGCATGAATAGATTAGAGAGGTCTAAAAAGATTGCCTTGCTGCAGTAAGAGCCTAATTAAGATTATATAAGTGTTCTGATAAACTGTATCCATTTAGCATAATGGATTTATTTTTATGAAGCATTTTGCTTTTTAACTGCTGTGATTGTGATCTGTCATATTCTAAGGCTTTTTCTCTTTCTTTAGCAATTTTGCCTTCCATGATAGAGAAGAAACGAGGTCACATTGTTGTAATTAGCAGCATTCAGGGCAAAATCAGTATTCCTTTCAGATCAGCATGTAAGTATCTCCTCAAATCCTTTATTGAAATCTAAGAAGTCCTGTTCAAAGTTCTGCATTCTTCCAACCTGTGACCCCATCAACTAAAAGGGAAGGCAAAGAATAGTAATGAGCATCCTTGAAGAAATGCTAAAATGAAGGTTACAAACATTTAATGGAGGAAACATGAAATTCAGTAGCATGATGTGTCCAGAAAAATCCAAATTGGAAATGTGATAAAAAATTAGTATCTTTGTCCTTTTGTCTACCATTTTGTTATAATTCCCTGTTGGCATGGAACTTACTAGCTACTTTCTAAGTTATCTCTTAAAAACTAGGTCATTTAATTTTGATGAATTTTCACTTTTAACCAGATTCTATTGGTCAAATAGACGTGTCCCATTACATTATTAAATAGGATCAAGATCTCACCAATTTCTTGTGATTAGGTTGGAACTGACTAGGCTTAAGGATGCTATCTACTAGTACTCTGCAGCCCTTTTAGACCCTATCTACAGAAAAATCCTAGGCCCAAGAATTCTGGGGAGCCAAAATTGGTTCTGGCATCCCTTTGGCAGGATACAGGTTATATTTGGTGTGTAGCCTTGGTGTCTAATTTTGGTTTGGCCCTTGAGGCTTGCTGAAAAATAATCCAGACCTTTGAGGAGCCCTAAAAGTAAGCCAGTCCCTTGAGAATCCTTAGGATTAGACTGAATTAATAGAATTACTGACAATAGGAACAAATCCCTCACCACCCATCCCCAGCTCATACCCCCTGAAAACCCTGAATCAGGTCAGTCTCAAGCTGAATAGATCTAGCCCTGGAAGGCATTTTAAAGGCCACCATTCCAGCTCCTTCATTTTATAGATAAGTAAACAGATCCAGAGAGACTGTGCCCCAAGATCAGAAAGGTGACAGAGTTGGCCTTTGAATTCAGATCCCAAGACTCCCAAGTTTCACACTTGCAGCATTCTTTCCACCACACTGTGCTGCCTTCCTGTGAAAAGAAGTCATCCAAAAACTGATCTGAGGGGTGTAACCCAGTGCAGTGAATGAAATAACTGTTTAGCTCCCTTCATTTGACTTTCTCTGACCTTTCCTTAGTTTTGTAGCCATTTTTATTCCTGTCTTCCTGTCTGGTAAATAACCCTTCCTTTCCTTAGACTTAAAAGCTCAGAACATTGTACTTTAGAGAACTCTGAATTTCAGTTGAGAGTCTCCCATTTATATACTTAACCATATTTTAGGGATATTTGTGCCCTGTAGGGGTACCACATTCCTCCTCAGTGCCCCTGGAGCAGTGCCCCACAGTCACTTCAGTCGAGAAACTGAGATGGGCACATTTCTGTAGCAGATGAGTGATTTCTGCACCATTTCTAAATGAAAATACACCAGAGGAAAAGGTTTACAAAATGGAATGCATAAAGAATGAAGTTATCTGTTTTAGGGTCAGTGTTTCCTTACTTTTGCGTGTTCCTTATGTGGCTGTGTTTTGCAGATGCAGCCTCCAAGCATGCAACCCAAGCATTCTTTGACTGCCTTCGGGCAGAGATAGAACAGCATGAAATTGAAGTGACTGTAATCTGCCCTGGCTATATCCAAACCAATCTCTCTCTCAATGCCATTACTGCAGACGGATCCAAATACGGAGGTAAGGAATAAATTTACCTGTGCTGATAGGAAACATTGACAGCTTCAGGCATAGGAAATCACGTGGGATTCTTGTTTCTCGGTTCCCCAGAATGAAAGGATACCAGGGTTGATTCTTAGATACTAACTGTGACCAGTCTTGAATCACTTCCCCGATGCCTCAGCAAGAGTCTGTGATTCCTGACTGGTCAGGTTTAAGCGATGTGATATCAGACACATTGACTGTAGACAAGGGCCTCTGTGGTGCCTGAGGGCCTTGAAAACAATCCCTAACTTGAAAATTCTCAGTCTCCTTCATATATGACATGAGAATCAGTTAAAAGTAATTAAATTTACAGAATCTGTAATTTGTCATGACCTTAAAGGTGGCATTGTTTTTCCCTTTATGCTTGGGAAATGAAAGAGAAACCTCCATGTTGTCACAGATTTGGTTCCTTCTGAATCTGCTGCTATTCCAGAGGTTACAGATTGTTGGAAATCATTCGGGTATCCTTGCAAGAGCAAGCTTTTTTTTTTTTAAGTTAAGAGCAACACCTCAGGTCCTATTTACCCTTAGCAGGCAGTAGAAAACAGGTTTGAAACTAGCCTAGCAGACTCTGACTTAGGGTCAGAGTTTAAACAATGTACAGCTGTGTGTCTCTTGCTGACTCTGAACCATGTCTGTCTATCTAGGCCTGTAAGTAACCCACCTTCTTTTTCCTGTCTTCATTGTATTTGACCTGTCATCTATCTAGGTCTATCTGGATCTGAGACTTCTCTTGCTTAGTTGGACTTCCAGTCCTGGCAGCCCCTGACATGTTGTCACTCATTCTCCTACAGTTGAGCAAACATGCATTTGTTGGTGTAAGCCTGCCCAGTGTTTTAGTAGGGTGTATAAAGTTGAAAAACACCACAGTCCCTGGCCTCAGGGACCCAACAGGGAGAATGTGATATGGGCACAAGTAAATATGATTCAGAGCCGATGAGGGTAAAGGAAAAGCATCTAGACAAAGTGCTCTGAGAAAGAGGAGGAAAAGGGAGACACCACTTCAAGTTGGGGGGTTAGGCAAGCTTCATGGAGGCTATGGTGGTACTTGAGCTGGCCCTAGAAGGAAGAGAAGGATTTCAGTGAGAAATGGGATAATTTCTGCCAGATCCAGTAGTGTATGCAAATGCACAGAGGTGAGAAAACCTAAAATGAGATAGAGAATAGCAGCAGTAGTAATAGTAGGAGGCTAGAAAATAGAGTTCATGAGGAGAATAAAATGGAATGAGACTAGAACAATAGGTTGGATCCAGTTTGTTAAATGCCAGGCTGCAAAGTTTGTATTTTCTCTTATGGGCAGTGGGATGAGGAGTTGACATAGTCCAACCCATGTTTTAGAAAGATAATCTTGGAAAAGTAATGTGAAGAAGAATGAATTGGAAAGTAAAGACTTGAAGCAGGGACAGCTGTGAAAAGAACGTTACAATATGTAGTACAATTGAAAAGCAGTGAGGACCCAAACTGGGGTGGTGATATTATGAGTAATGGTTGGAAAGAGAGGAGAAAGAGAACAAACATTTATTAAGCATCTGCTATGTGCCAAAAGTACTGTGCTAAGTGCTTTACAGTATTATCTCATTGGATCCCGCAAGGAATGTACTATTATGTTACAGGCCCACTGTTACAGTTTGAAAAAACTGAGGCAGCAAAGGTTAAGTGACTTCCCCAGGGTTTCATGGCTAGTAAATATCTGAAGCTAGGTTTGAATTCAGGTCTTCCTGACTCCTTAGCATGATATGGATGAGATAAGAGAAACTGTGGAGCTAGAATCAACAGGATTTGGGTCTAATTGGATATTATAGATGAGGAAGAGGAAAGAGTTAAAAATGTTTCTGAAATTTTGAGATTGGGTAACTGGGGAGAATGATGGTTCCATCAGTAAAAACAACAGGTAAGTTGGGAGAAGGATTTTTTTTTAAAAGGGAAAATGATAAATTAAAGTTTGTACATGTAGAGTTTGAGGTACTTATGGGATGTTGAGGGAGTGAGTAGTTCGAAATATAAGACGAGAGTTCAGGGAGGTTATTGAGGCATAGGTTTTTTTTAACATGTAAACTCCAATAAGAAGTTTACCAATAACAGAAGTCCAGAAGCAAAGTATCTGATAAGATCCATCCATCCATCCATGTATATGAATATATACATATATATGTAAACACACACATATTTAAGCTTGATTGTCACCAGTCAGGAGACACGACTTTCTTGCTGGCTTACTTTTCTCTCTTTCAGCATAAATAATAATGACTTTCAGAGGTGTAGGGCTAGTAGGATTGATACTTACAAAACTGTTGCCTTGAGCTCATTTTCTGAGCCCATTTTCAAATTAGCAACAATGAGTACACTACCATTTTTTTATATTAACAGAAATACAATGGGGAAAATGAGTTCTGGCTGCCAAATAATAGTTACACATGGTCTTCTGTTGGGTGTTCACTTGCCTATATTTTCCTATCAGCTAGTCACACTTCACTTAGAAAACCAACAGATTACCTCTCCTGAGAATGTTTTCATTCTGTGCCTGATCTTGGCCCTAGGTTTAAATACTGCCTCAAGACACTAGCTTTGTGACTGTTGTCAGGTCAGTCCTCTGAAAGAAGACGAGGATGGACTTGACCTCTGAGGTCCCTTACGTTTCTAAATCTATGATCCTATAACAGAACAGCCCTCAGTTATAATCTGTAATTCTTAAAGTGTTGCTAACTGAATTACCATTATTTACTAATTAGAAGATTAGCTTGAGCACCAAGGCATCCATCTGTGATATTGACTCACAGGTGAACATTAAGGCATATTTAGATTAGATGGAAGAGATGCAACATGGCCAAGTAACTGGCGAGTTGGCCTTTGATATATCCTGGCCTGGGGACCCTGGACAAGTCATTGAATCTTTGAGAACCCAACTTATTAGAATGATAAGGTTTGGGGGGGGAGGTTCAAAATACGTTTATCAATCATTTACTTTTACTATTTTTGCACAGATGTCAAGTATCATACAAAAAGAATGGTTACCCAGAAGTATGGTAGCCACTATTAAAATTAGATTGTTGCAAAGGATTACTTCCCCCCATTACCTTCTCTGAGCCTTAATGGAAATACTAATAATTCCATTACCTACACTACAAGATTTCAAAACAGGTGCTATATAAATGTAAATGCTATTGTAGTCAACTCATCTGTGTAAGACCAGTATGTTGCAGAGAAAGTGCTGACCTGTATTGGTAGAGGGATCTTTCTCACCTGAGAGTTCACTGTCCCCAAGAAATCATATGTCTAGTCCCCATCCTTTCCCTTAGTTGGACAAGTGAAGTCATAAGGCTTGAGGGAGCTTCTAGAGGCCTTTTAGTCTATCCTATATCTCTAGATAGTATTTAATTAGAATCAGAGGATCATAGATTTTTATCTGGAAAGGACATTAGTGGTCATCTAGTACAACTTACTGGTTTTATTTTATTTCCAACTCCCTCATTTTACAGATAAGAAACTGAGGCCTGGAGAGATTAAATGACTTGGCTAAGGTCATTTGGGTTGTAATCAAACCTGGATCCTCTGATTCCAAATCCAGCATCATTTCTACCATACTGTTCTCTGCAATGAGACTGGGAGCTCTCTCACCCCACCCCCCAAGGGCAAGGACTGTCTTGCACCATACTGGGTTGTGGTAGCTGCTTAATAAATGCTTGTTGACTGAAGATAACATAAGACAGAAGGAGATTTCTGTGCCTTTGGTAATCCTTCCCATTAGTCATTTTCCAAAGTTAGTACACCCCATATAAAACATAGGGACTGTTACTGACTCACAGAATTATAGTTTGAAATGACCTTGAGAGTTCATCTAGTCTCTGCTTCTGCCTACAAAAAGATTACCAGAGGCCTTTCTCATGCCCTGCCACCCCCACTGTTGTTTGTCTTCCCACCTCCAGAAACTACTTTGTATAGATTTACGTTTACTCCCTAGAAGTACCTCCCTGTCTCCCTCTGACAGAATGGCAGCTCTTGGTGGGACTATTTTGTTTCTATCCTAGTACCGCTAGGACCTAGCCCAGAGCCCTTACACACCACAGGGGTCATGTAAAGGCTTAGGAAAAGTAAAAGGGAAGGCAGCCTAGCCTGGTTTTTTGTTTTCAGATTTCCAAAAGAGATTCCCAAGCACTACTCTAGAATCCATAGGGACAGCTGGCATTTATATAGCACTTACTAAACAAAACACTTTACATACATCCTCACATTTGATCAGTTAATTCAGCAACCACTTATTAAACATCCATTGAGTAATAGTTTTAAAGTTCAAGAAATCTTAAGAGAGATGGATTTCTGTACCCTAGCAAAGAATATTAAGGAGGAGCTCATACAACCAGTGGGCCATTGGAGAACCAATGAATGACCTGGAGATGTTTAGCCTGGAGAAGAAAAGCATTAATGGAGACTGAATCACTGTGTTCAAGGATTTGAAGGCTTGTCCTAGGGAGAGGGATTTAATTTGTTTAGCTTAACTCTAGCAGCCACAGCTAGGAGTAATGGGAAAAAGTTAAAGGTATAGTGCTAGACTTGGTGTAACGACTAATTTCGTAACAACTAAAGCTTGCCATATGTGGAATGGGCTGCTCCAGGAGATTAAAAAAAAAAAAAGAGGAAGTTAAAGTGGTGAGGTGGTGATTGGGAGGGTAGAGTGGGAGAGGGGCTGGCAGGGCCTGGAGTCAGAGGGACCAGAGTTCAAATATGGTGTCGGGGGTAATAATAGCTCTGTACGTACCAGGTTCGTTGTGAGGATCAAATGAGAAAATAGTTGTAAAGTGTTTAGCAGTACCTGACACATAGTAAATGAAGAGGTTCAGGGCGCAAATGATGAGGCAAGGTAGAATTCCTCAGGCTATCTCCAAATCAAGTAAAGGCATTTTTCTGGTAACACACCAAGCAGGCTCCTCCTTAAGGGAAGTTGCAACTCCTTGAGGAAGGCTGAAGCTTAAGGGGGGGGATTGCGCTCCTTAATGGAGTCAGCAGTTCTTTAAGAGAGACAGCCCGCCCTAGCCAGGAGAAGCTGGGGATTCTTATAGAGGAAAACCTGCCATGGATGGGGAGATGAGGTAATCAGGGACAGAAAGGTGGACTGGAAGGTGAAGTAACCAAGGACTTGTAGGCAAGGGGGCTGTGGTAGTTCAATTTTGAGCATATGTAGACACATCATTATTTCACTGACCAGTCTACTTGAATCTCATTATCTTCTGAAGTGGCTTTAAATGGTATTTGAGGTAATGGGCTTCTCATTGACCAGTCCATTTGAATGTCATCAGTAAGTGCTATGTAAATGTTAGTTATTATTATTATTATTATTATTATTATTATTATTATTATTATTATAATAAGTTAGCCCCTCGACTTCCTAGGCAAAACTGTCTTCTAGGGAAGGCTGGGATAGTTACTTATGTCTTGGATACTTGGAAGGGGGAAGGGGTAGTGAGGGTTGAAGAGTGGGAGTGTTTTTCTTGTCCAGGTATAAGTAGGCATACATGGAGTCCAAGGGTCCCTTCCAATTCTGAAATTCTGTGAATGATTCTGCAGGACATTTTGCTAAGTGTTGAAGTATATAAAGACAAAAATGAAAAATAATCCCTGCCCTCAGTGAATGTATGTTCTGCCCAGGGACACAACATGTAAACAGGTAAATGCCAGATTAACTGAGGAAGAGAGGGCTAAAGATTAGGTGTATCAGGAAGGGCTTTCTGTAGGAGGCAGTATATGACCTGAGCCTTTAAGACAAGTAGGGTTTCTCATAATTAAGGAGCAATTCGCTTTCAGCATATGGGGAGCAGCCTGTGCTAAGTCATGGAGGTGGGAGATTGGAATGTCAAGCTCAAGGACAGCAAGTGGGTTGATCTGGCTGGGACTAGAGTGTATGAAGGGCAGTAGTGTGAACTATCTAGAAAACTAGGCTGGGGCCAGATTGTGAAGGGATTTAAATGTCACACTGAGGACCTTGCACCTTATCTCAGACAGATGAGGGAGCTACTGACAATTCTTAAGCAAGGGGAATGACAATGCAAGGTCTGTGCCATAGGAAGATTATTTTGCTGTCCATGTTGGGGATGCTTCGGAGAAGAGAGACCCAAAGAAAGGAGACCAGTTAAGAAGTTACTGCAATAGTCCATAAGAGACATGACGAAGGCTTGAACTGAAGTGGTGGCCATGTGAAGAGGTGGAAAGAAGGGGATGGAGAGGAGAGATGTGGTGAAAGTGGCGTCCACAAGGGTGAAGAGAGGCATGAGAGGTGAGAGCTTAGGGTGAGTTCAGGCTTTCAAACCTGGGGTACTGGAAGGATGGCAGGGTCCTCAGCAGAAAGGGGGACACTTTCAGGAGAGGGCAAGATAATGTGTTCATTTTGGACAAGTTGAGTTTGAGGTGACTATTAAACATATCCAATAGATGGAGATGTCCACCAGGCAGTTTGTGATATGGAACTAGAGCTTGGGAGAATTTGGAGTTTCATCGATAAACTTGAGCAGGCTCTAAGTGTTAGGAACTTCTTATAGTTAAGTAGTCTCCTGGCTGCTGCACAAACCTGGTCTGCACTTTATACCCTCACTAGAGGTGAAGTATAACTGGCCATTGCCTAACACGGCCTTTTCTCATCTAGGCTTTGCTTAATTTCAGTTTCCCTAACCCTCCAACATAGGTCTTATTTTCTAGCCCTTGTCTTTTTCCCCCTCTTTTTTAGCACTTCTAAATTTTCTCTGTTGTCCATATCCATCCCTCTTTTGATGTGGAGTATAAAATAGAACTTATCATGGTAAAGTTCTGAATACAAGATAATAATTATCACTACTCCACAATAACACAAAGAAGAATCAATAATGTTAATTCAAGCAGATTCCCAAAATACTTAAGAAGTATGAACAAAAATGTTGCCAGCTTTATATTGTAGTCATTATTGAGTGTACATATTTAGATCAGGTTGTAGTACATAGAGTTTAACTTTAATACTGTCTATGAAAAATTAAAGTCTATGTTATTTGTTGTTCTCCACCCATTACTGTACTTTCAGAATTACAGTTCTGTATTACCAGTTGTAGTCAACTTGTTTTCCACAGTGATCCTTCTATCTTTTGAAGTCATAGTTGTATATAGTTGGTTCTTTTCTATCTTAAATTTGGGTAAATTGTTTTTCTTCCACAGATACCGCTTACAAAGGGCACTTTGAATTTTGTTTTTAATCCTCCAGGGCGCTGGTCATATCTCTGTAGATGGTTTCAGCTGCAGACTCCAATAAACATGCTTTTTCTTTCATCGTTCATGCCAGTGATGAAAATGTTAAATGGCAATAGCTCCTGTGGAACACTATTCTCTTTCTTGAGACTGAATAGATTTCATTCTAGTACCTAGAACATAGTAGTTCTTTAATAATAGGTAGCTGGGGGCACAGATGAGTACTATGCATGGAGTCATGAAGACCTGAGTTCAGATGTGATCTCAGACACTTACCAGCTTTGTGGCCCTGGGCAAGTCACTTTACCTTTCTTTGCCTGTTTCCTTATTTGTAAAATGAGGATAATAACACATGTTGTGAGAAACAAATGAAATAATTGTAAAGTGCTTAGCACATTAGTGCCTGGCACATAGTAAGCTCTATATAAATGTTAGCTATTATTGTTAATAAGTTGATAAATGAGATTATAGCCAACCTGCATACGGTACATATTTTTAGCCAGTTAGGGACTTTCTTTCTATATAATATAGGATAGTCTGGTGAACATCTGAACCTTTTTTATTTTTTAAATAAGGAAAGAAAAATTATAGAACATTTGTTCTGGAAGGAATCTTGTGACTTGTCCAAGGTCACAAAGGTAAATGAAGCCAGTGGTGAAAACATAAACCAAATACAGATGGGCTAAGCATCAGTAAACCCTTTCCTGTTGAGATGTGTCGACCTGCTGGTGCTTCCTACCATAGCATGTAGCCTAAAGAACCACAGAATGGTGGTAACCCCACCCTCCTCCTAAGGCACAAGTAGCCTCCTTGTAGGGAAATTTGACCAGCTGATTTTTCTTTCTTCACATTGACTTAAAGCTTTACGTACTAGGATTTCTGACTTTATTTTTTAGTTACGGACAAGACCACGGCCAGTGGCAGAAGTCCTGCAGAGGTGGCTCAGGCAGTTCTCACAGCTGTGGGGAAGAAGAAGAAGGAAGTGATGGTGGCAGACCTGCTGCCTTGTTTGGCCATCTCCCTGAGAACTCTGTCTCCTCGGCTCTTCTTCTATCTCATGGCAATGAGAGCCAAAAAGGAAAGGAAAGCAAAGGACTCCTAGTCTTTCTTTAGAGAGGCTTCCTTGAAGACCAAGCACATGCCGCCTGATCATGGTTTGGTAGTGCTATGTGCAACAGCTGAACTAATGGAAACATTAATTAAAGGGTCGAACCAGTGGGGAAGGTGGCAGAGCTGTGTGCTGCAGGGCACTAGGTAGCCTCTTGTGGCAGGGAGAAGGAACTATGGAAATTATGCTGAGCTCAGAAGGGGAAGGGGATGCATCCCAGAAACATGAATGTTTTTAATTGTGGGAAAAAAATGAATGGGACTAGCCAGGGTCTGATGGGAGAAACCATATCTCCTGGCAGTTTGGGTCTCTTTATACTGTCAATCAGTACAATCCTTTGAGTCAGAAGGAATATCAGGATTTTTGTTCCAGTGGTTTGACAAAACTTAGCTTATCAAAAGTTACTTAGCCTGTTAATCTTCAGTATACAACTCATCCCTAATCCCTCCTGGAAGGCTCTATACATTTGAGAAACTATTTCTTTTGTCTGTTCTACAGAATTGTTCAACTCTTTTTTGGTCCTGATCTGTGAATTCTGGGTGTAAGGAACTCTAGGTGTGGAGATTCCTTCCACTGATCATGCAACTTATTCTTAGACAGTTGCCACGGGTACTGAGAAGTTTAAGTAACTTGTCTATGGTTACAGTCAGTATACATCAGAAGCAGGACTAGAACTTGGGTCTTCTGACTCCAAAGTCAGCCAAGGTGCGCAACATTATGCTGCTTCTTATTCAACACTTTAGCAGTGTCTTGGCCTTTAGCCTCCATGGTGTACTGACCCTGGACCTAGGAGCTTTGGACATATCCTAGATTTTATTGAAATTGGAATTTCAGAGAAATGCCAGATTCATCCCCACCCAACATGATTAATGTAAAATGGCAAATAATTGAGAATACAGCAATAGAAATGAGCTACTGACAACAATGCATGGCTCAGCTATGGTCCAAAAGCAAGACTTCAGAAATATCGTTTGGTAAGGGAATGAATCTGAAAACGACTAACATCTAATCCTTTGAAGGATCCAGCTAACACAGAGTATTTGACCTGTGGCTACCACAGAAGTAAAATTAGCCACATGTCACATGGGGAAAGAACTTATTACATAGTTACAATTCCTGAGGAGGAAGAGAATTGGGATTTTTTTGTTTTGTTCGTTTTCCTATCTCCCCCAGTCCCAGGTGTCCTGGACATTTCAGGGATTCTCGGTTGTGCTATGAAAGCAGGTAAGATGGGAAGTAAGACATGTAAACGTGCTGTCATTTAGGCCCTTGTCATGAGGGAGAACTTTTCTAGTTTTCTTCAGCAGAGGATGAGACTAATCTGTAACCCAGAGACCTGGATGCCAGTTAGATTCCTGACCCCAATTCTGAACAAAATAAAAATTTCCTGTAATTTTCCTTCTTCTCACTAGTGGAGAACGTGACCATATTGTTACCAAAAACCAAAAGCACAGCTGTACCTTGGCCTTGTATATCTGCAGTATTAAATAAGGACATTTACAAGTAGTGAGTGGTGCTTTTTCTCACTGATACATAAAGCTACTCAATACTGGTGACAGTGAAGAAAGTATGTTGATAAAGGTGGTTGTTTGGGAATGTTTAAGACAAACTAGGACAGGAAAGGTCTATCTAGTCCTTATCTACAGATATTTATTGGAACACTGAGCTTTGAGAAAAAGTCAAGGGTAAATATGGAAGCATCAAAATAGCACAGCATCCACTACTCAGGTTTAACTTAAGATGGGTTTACAAGCAGCTAGACCAGCCACCTTGTCAGAGTTCTCCCTGCCATACCTTTAAAACTATGAGCTCCCTCTTCTCCCCACTTCCTCATGTCCTATCACTTCTGCCACTATCGCTTCTTTCACCCATCTCACATGAAGAGGGGAGTGACCCCATCCCTTCCTGTCTCCTCTAAAAGATTCAGTCATTCCCACTACTTTCCCACTTACCAAACTGCTCTTTCCAATGTTATCCTAGTTGACAAATCCAATAGCCTTTTTTCAATGCTTAGTCCGTGACCTTTCTGCACCCTTTGACACTTGATCACTCTCTCCTCCTTGATACTTTATTTTCTGTAGGTTTTTGAGACACCTGTCCCTCTCTCCTGGCTCTCCTCCCACCTATCAGACCATTCCTCAGTCTCCTTGGATGGATCCTCCTCCAGATCATGCCTTCTAAGTGTCCCTCAGAGTTCTACCCTGGGCTCTCTTCTCTTCTTCCACATACTACTGCACTTGGTGATCATTTCTATGCCAATGATTCTCAAAACCTAGCTTTCCTGCCCTAGCCTCTCTATTGACCTCTTAATCTCGTATCTCCAGCTGCCTTTTAGACATCTCAAACTGGCTATCCATCTTAATCCTGCCGTGTCTAAAACTACACTCATCTTTCTCCCCATAAGCCCTCCTCTCCACCTACCTTCCATATTAACCTAGAGGGCAACACCATCCTCCACTCCTCACTGTTTCCCAACCCCCATATCCAATCTGTTGCTAAAGCCTGTCGATTTCACCTTTGCAACATCTCAAATATGCCATATCTCCTAACAGTGCCACCAATCTAGTACCAGCCCCCTTCACATCATGCCTGGATTACTGCACTAGCCTACTAGTTAGTTTGCCTGCCTCAAGGCTCTCCCTTTTCTTGAATCAACCCCCTATTGTCTCTAGGATCAAAGACAAAATGCTATGTTTGGCATTCAAAACCTTTCATAATCTAGTCCCCTCCTACCTTCCCAGTCTTTTTTTACCTTACTCCCCTGTGTACTGTGGTCCAGTGATGCTGGCCTCCTGGCTGTTCCAGGAACAAGATGCTTGACTGTCTGCCATGCCTAGAACACTCTCCTACCTCAGCTGACTACTGGCTTCCCTGGAGTCCCAACCAAAATTCCATTTTCTACAGGAAGCCTTCCCTACTTCCTCTTAATTCCTGTTCCTTCTCCGTTTCCTATTTGTCTTGTACGTAGCTTACTTTGTATATATTTGTTTGTGTGTTCATCTCCCCCGTTAGACTGTGAACTCCTTAAGGGGATACTGTCTTTGTATCCCTAGCACTTAGCACAGTGCTTGGTACATAATGTAGACACTTATTACTGAAATGAAAAGTCTGAAATTAGATGGGGAAGAAGCTGAGCCCGATTTAGCCAGATTTACTCATGGCTAATTGCTTTAGGATGAGATAGTTCTTTAAAGTCTTCATGGTATTAAATCAAGTGAAGACAGTTGTAACAGGACTTTTCAAATAGACAAAACCCTTTGCCATTATCTTTAGGTGCAAGCTCAGATGGGCTACTGCCCAGTAAATTAATTTTTCTGTATTGTTTGTACAATCTGAATGATGAGCCATAAAGTTCATTAGTCCCATGCTCCTGGGATTTAATGTGTTTTTTTCTAATGAGTACCTGAATACCATTAACTTGCTAACAGTAGAAAAGTTTGATGTTACTTCTGTCCAACACAACAGCATGGTTCTGATTCTCTTCACTTTGACTCTTCACAAACCATCCTACTATTCTCTGGATTATAAAACTCTTAAGAACTCTTCCATAAATTTCCACCAAACCCCCCCCCCCAAAAAAAACTTTTAAAAGCGTAAGAATTTACAAACTATAGGTTCAAGTAAGTCTCCCATGTTTTTCTTTCCAAGCCCTGGATTTGCTACTTATTTTCCTTCTCCACCTATCTCATATAGATTTACCTAATATCACCACCTTTTCATTGACCCCCCCCAAAATTAGTAAAGTCTTCCTCTACAGCTGGTTGCACTAGGCTTCTGGATTACCAAAAATTATATATGAAGTTTATTAGCTATCAGAAATAATAAATGATTCCTAGCAAGTTTTCTTAACCAGATGTAAGGTTACAGAAGACTTTGAAATGGGAGTTGATTTAAGTTGCATGAAGGCAAAGACCACGTCTTGTTCTTCATACTTAGTGTAAGCTCTTACATAGCACATTTAGCACATTCAGTTAATGTTTGTTAAGTGAATGAATGAATGAGAGATATGAAGTGAAACTGAGCTTGGAAAATTTGCCAGGGACATTTACTAGCTGGAATAGGTCTAGGAGAATAACCAGGATGAAGAGACCAAGTACCATGCCATACCAGGTTTAGATAAAGGAACAACGTTAAATTTGCAAAGAGAACACTTGGAGGGAGGGAAGAACTCCCGTAAAGGGACAGAGCAAGGATAGCTGTCTTGTGAAAGGATTAGATGTATTTTGCTTGGCCCCACAAGATAGAATTAGGAGGAATGGGTGGAAGCCCCAGAAAGGAAAATTTCTGCTCAATGTAAGGCGGAAAAAAAACCCAACTCTTTTTAATTATGACAGTCTTAAGTGCCATGTGCTGCCTCAGGAGATAATGGATTTCCCTTCCATCATTGGAAGCTTTCACTTGTTCAGAGACTTAGAAAAGTCTGTTGGCTAAGGTTCAGGTTAGATCGAATGAACTCTCAAGGTCCCTTCCTATTAAGATTATAGGTAACGAAGATTTATATGCATAAAGCAGTTAGCATTCTTCTCAAAACACCAAATAAAGTGACTTTGAATAAATCATAATTTGTGCCTTAGTTTTCTCATTTCCAAAAAGGATAATACTTGCCCTAAAGTCATCTTGAGGCTCAAATCAAATAATGTATATAAAGTGCTTTGAAGCAACAAAGTACTATAGGAACATCAATGATATGTTCTCTATGATCTGTTCCCCACAAAATGCAAAAATTCACACTTGGATTTACATTACCATGGTCTAAAACTAGCACTGGGATTAACATAACACTTTAGTTTTAATAGGGCATGACTGTTAACGCCATACCCCATCTCTAGAAATAAAAAATTTTAAAAACCTCAATAAGGATGAGATAAAATGGTTAACCCTCATACTAGGGAACATAATTTGCTACTGTCAATTATAGCAGATGCCAGGATAAGATGTTTTCAAGTTTCCTTATTGATAAGGTCCATTACTTATCTAGACACCAATGATTAAAACTTCTTATCTTATTTACAAAAGTGATGAATTCAGTCTGCTTGGCTTCAGAAAATGTAAAAAAGGATGGTGTTTCAGAATTTGGTTATTCTCTTAACAAACAAACATACCTTGTTAAATGCTGTTTGGGAAGTAGTGGTAAAACAAGTATACCTGTTTACACAGCTTCTATTTCAAGGGTAAGAGCTTCCGCCTACACCTTCTCAGCTGGCAACAGTGATCTTCCATTGCTCAAGTGAAGGCCTATCTACTTGAAGCCACCACACCACCTGAAATTTGATTTGCAGGCAGAACATTTCCAAACAGGGCAAGTGGCTCCTTTCCCAAGTGAGGGCCTGTTACATAAACATTTGTCATTCAAGCAAAACAGGATTTCCAAGTAGGTAACAAGCTTCTAGATCCCTGAGAGATATCATCATTACAACAGGATTTCAATTTGCTCTGCAGAATCAAGTACAGATTTATTGGGGATTACTTTCCCTGTGGCCAGTGGCAAATCACCTGCAAAAGTTCATTGTTAAACCCAAAAACTAGATCCCCAACACCATTCTGCCACCCAGACCATAACTCAGCAAGCGAAATGTGAATGCTTTTGGGCAGTCAACTCTAGAGATAGGACCTTTTGGCATTTTTAAAACCTTAAATCTAAATCACAAGTGAATCTGGCAGTCTAGCAAATAGCCACTCAGAAGAGAGAAAGCAGCTAACAAACTAAATAGGCATTTATCATCCAGGAGAAAAGATTTCTTTCTTTTACATTTCCTGGAAGTCTTTAAATCACTGGGGAGTACAGTAATATGTCAAGTCCAGAGAATGAGGGATGAGCACCATGCTGGCAGCATAGCGCTCCTCTTCTGTCCTCCACAGAACAAAGTGGAACTGCAAGAGTGAAAGTAAAGAAAGTCAAAGTAAAATTAAAGCTTTGTAATCTCCTGGATAGGGACGCTTGGTTGACTATGCTCACCCCATTCAAATGGATTTCACTGTGGTGCAGAAGGCACTACTCATAAACAAACTAAGATTCAAAAAATTGTGTTTGTAAGTACAAACAAAAATACAATTTGTCCCTCAGATCAACCCCATTACTCTCAGCTGTAAGCCACATCCTAAAGCTGATCCTTAAAGTAGGTACATAGAAAAGCATAGAGAGAGAAAACACTTGAAATGCTCATTATTTTAATGGTCAATAGCTTCTGGCTGGCTCTGGATGGTACAGTTAAACAATATACTTGAAAGGTTCCCCCCTCCCCCAAAAAAGCATTTCACACCCCCCTTGATAATAGTTTGCTTCCATCAACATTCCACTGCTCAATCAGACTTCCACAGCCTAGAACATGTCTTGAGTCACTGCAGATCCACATCTTAGTGTAACGAGCTGAAAATCCCTTGGTGTAGCAGTGATTTGTCTTACTCTGAAAAATAACAAATATTAACCCAAACAGCTTCCCAGTCTCCATTGCATTTCAGAGGAAAAAAATGTTACTGTGGAAATCTTAATACACTGTTGTCTTTTGTGGGTGTTTTTTTTTCTCTCTCTCTCCCTTTTCTACTGAAATCATACAGCATAAAGCTCGTAAATCTTCTTTACACAGTACACCAGGGCAGCGAGTGCTATTGTATTATGCAGTCTCTTTCTGTGCAGGTCATCCTTCCTCACCAGCACCACAGGAGTGGAGGAAGTGAGCGTATGCAGAGGCAGTCGGGAAAGTTTGTAGGCATCATACTCCACTTGATACTTGCAGCAGGGGTCAAACTGCCAGGAGATTCCGTAGAGGGTGCAACAGGCCATGCTCAGCACGCCGGCAGGCAGGGAGATATAATGGGAATAATCTAAGGGAAGTGCCAAGGGGGTGAAGAGGCAGGCACTGCCTGCCAGCACGGCTGTCTTGTGCAGGCAGTTCCCAACAGTGATCCATCGGGCAGTCTCATCACCGATCCGGGTGGGCTCTATAACTATGTATTTGTATTGTGCCTCCAGAGCCTGCTCCAACTCATACTCAAACTGGTCTTGGGCATTCTCTCCATTGTAGATTTCATGAACGATGTAACACTCTGTGGCAGACAAAGTTACCCTGTTAAGAGAGAAAGATGAGACAATTAAACAAAGAACCTGATTTGCTTAATGCCAGCTTCATGGTGGGGAGTTCTGGAGAGTAAAGTTCCGTTTAAATGTGAAAAAATCCAACACCTTCAACAAGCCTCCAAGTATTATGGTTTCATGGTGTGTTATGGGGGTGTCACCTTAAAGAATTCAGATTCAGACCACCTCCAATCCAAGCAAAGGCACTTATTAAGGATTACGATCTCCAGCAGGCTGAGTTCCAAGAGGAACTGGCAGCTTCCATAAGACAAGACAGGTAATTTTGATTGAAAAGCAGAAGGGGTTTTGTCAAGGGATTAGGTAGTAGGGGAGGGGTTCTGGCCTAGGTGGAACTGTGCATGCTATTACCCACAAAGCATACAGAAAAACCCATTGTGTGTGTGTGTGTGTGTGTGTGTGTGTGTATAAAAAAAATATTATAATAAGCCTTTATGTCATAAGTTCACTTAAAGGGCAGCTCTTGCTAGGACTGCACAGGTGCCTACTTAGGGAAAGTTCTTTCTATTGTTTTGGGGTCTACATCTTGCTTGGGAATCCTAGTGGTGCTGCTTTCTTATTGGCTGGCTATCGTGGTCCCGAAATTAAATGGATGTGGACACACCTTATTTCTGTGGGCAGTGGCTAGCATTCCATCACATGGACACACCTGCTGTTCTAGTGAGGCACGTATGAAGAAGTAAGGATGTTGGCGGGTCGGGAGAGAGCAGTGGCTAGGTAGGGGCAGTAGGCCTGCTGTTCAGTGAGACCTATGATTGCGTCTGGGGGCCTGTGGTGTGGTTAAATCAGGACATGCCTGCTGTTCAGTGAGGCCTATAAGGAAGTTAGAATATTGGGGCTGGGGACAGTTTTATTAGAATTCCATCATAGGAAAGAACTTAATTTAGAATCAATACCAAGGGAAGGTACCCCCAAAGTCTAGGAAAACTTCCTACTGCAACATATGCCAGATCTAGTTCTGCCCTATTACAACAGATAAAAAGGGGTTCACAGTTAAAAAACTGGGGGAAGAGACAGAAATGGAGAGTTGTATCTCTGTAGGCTGTCACCTTTTAATACACTAAAATAAGTACACTATTATCTAAGGCATTATCCTGAAACAGTTCTATGTGGAAAGTCAATACACATTGATAAAAGGTAATGTATAATACCCTGCCCTCACGTGCTCAAAGGAAGTCATCTTTGTCTCTGAGAACAAAGGACATAATAGTACAATTTAGTCTTTCGTGATTGAGCACAAAGCCTCTTGGCATGGATGTCAAGGGACCAAAGAGCCAGAACTCCTCAAAAGCTATCTAAAACAGCCCCACTGTCTCCTTTCAACCATTGCCCAAATACCTGTTAAATAGTTTCAGGTTAAAGAAGGCTTGTTACTAGTGAGGATAGCAGAACTTTACAGATAGCCATGAAAAGGTAATTACTACAAATTTCACTGTGTTTCAATTTGAAAATGCTTTTCTTGAAGAACTACAAACTTCTTCCTAGAGAAAGACTAACTTGAATGTTCTGGTCTCTTGACTTTACATATCAGAATGGGGGGAAAATGTGTGTTATTACCAAAACTTTGCTTAACAGAAATTAGCCAATTACTCACTACCTATAATTAGGACATCAGAACATGTTTCATTAGCTATGACCAACAGCCACATATTGTGGGGTATTTCAGAATCATCGAAACTGGAAACAATCAAGAATCATCCTTTGATTCAACTTCAGTCCACTGAAAGAAGAAAATTCTCTACTTTATCACTTTTATACAGCGAGCATTAAACAGAGCACCATGTTAGCTTCTAAAGAAATTCAAGATAAGAGGTTATCTGATGGGGAAATGAAATCTCAAATCATCTACCTTTTTTCTAAGTCTTATGGTGAAGTTGGGAAGTTTCACCAAGGATATTAATAAATAAAAATATATGACATTGACATAAATGCTTTAAGGCTTACAAAGCACTTCAGAAATCTCATTTCACTTGATAGCCACTGCAACCCTGTGAGGTTATTGTCATCAACCCTGTTTTGTGGATGCAGAAAACTGAGGCTAAAATTCTGGGACCGTCCGAGTTAGAATTCAAACTCATGTCTCTTCATGACTACAAGTCCAACACTTTCCACTACAACACAGAAACATCCAGCCTCTGACTGAACACTGCCTAATGGACAGCTCACTTTCACATTCCACTGCTAATTTTTAGAAAGTTCTTCCATAAGCTGAGCAAAAAGCTGCTTCCTTATAACTTCTACTCATTGGTCCTAGCACTTGAAAACAGACACTACACAAGACTAAATCTATATTCCCCTTTCCCATGACAGCCCTTAAACCGAAGACAGATAATCATGTTTGCTGCACCTCCCTTACTACCCCCACTCCCACCCTCCCCAATCTATTGAGTTACACTGCCCTCAGGAACATCATCTCTTCTTCACACAGTATTTAAGGTGTGATCTGATCAACACTGAGGGCAGTGAGATTACTACCTTTCTTTATTTTGGGAACTACACTTAGATCTGACTACATTAAGCCTTTCTACACTTAATCCAGGCCAAATGAGTCCTGGTCTGTTTAACATGAATTTTCATCTCCCCCATTCAGCACATATATAATAGATTTTGTTGAATCTAAGGACTTCACATTTATCTATTTGATTTCATTTGTTTTTGCTCATCACTCTAGTCCATCAAGATCTTTTAAAGTCTCTAATGTGGAAATGATTAATATGATTGCACATGTATAACCTATATTAGACTGCTTGCGGTTTTGGGGAGGGAGAAAAATTTGGAACTCAAAATCTTATAAAGGGGAATGTTGAAAACTATCTTTACATGTAATTGGAATAAAATAAAACACTACTAAGTAGAGGAAAAACATCTTTTAAAGTCTTGTTTCTACTAATACAGTCACTATTTCTTAGCTTTTCATTATTACCTCTCCAAATTTGATAGGCCTACTTTCATCAGCCCAACAAAAATGTTGGCTACAGAACACTGAAACAGGCAACTTAAGACAACTGATTATGCTGGTACCAATACATCATTCAATCTAGCACTCTTTGGGTCCAGCGGCTCAATTTCATAATTGATAATTCATAACTGAGCTTAGCTGCCCTGCCCTCATTTCTCCACTCTGTCCTTAAGAATACCATGAGAGATTTTGTCAAGCAACCTTATTTTCCTGATGCACCAGTCTGTTGCTGTTTGTCCTTTTGTTCTCAAAGAGGACCATGGCATCAGAAAGGTGATGCTGTGACTTGCAAGTGAATTGGACTGAAGTGAGGGAGGGCTGTGCAAAGTTACCAGCCTCACTTTCTCATCTGAATCCAGAGATACAGATCAGGATGACCAGAGTCATCCCCTATCCAGGAAAGAGATAGGCTGCTAATTTTAATGCACCTATGCTAGCTCCTAGTGATCACTATTTTTTCTTTCTTTTTTTTTTCTTTTTGCGAGGCAATCAGGATTAAGTGACTTGCCCTTGGTCACACGGCTAGTGAGTATCATGTCTCTGAGGCTGGATTTGAACTCAGGTCCTCCTAACTCCAGGGCCAGTGCTCTATCCACTGTGCCACCTAGCTGCCCCTTGATCACTATTTCCTACATGAAAATAAAGATTGATCTCTTAGCTAAGCTGGTGAAAAATACTATCCTGAATAAATAAAAAGATCATCTGGAATATATCCCTTAAACTACACCAAAAGATCTAGAATAAGAGCTACTCATTTTCCTAATTAGCTGTGTGATGACAAACAGTTTACTATTTAGTAATTTGTTTTTACACTGTCCACATTTCCCCCTGTACACCGACCCCTTTCCAGAGAGTCATCTCTTATAACAAAGAATCTGGTTTGCTATTTAGTTCCCCCAAAACCAGTTCATGTAAGGGAATTCTTTCCCTCAATCATCAATAAGAAAGCAATTATAGTCTAATATTACAGGGTAGGTAAACTAGGAATGTCACACTACAAAGAAAAAGGGCAGGTACTTGTGATTTATTGAAATTGCAGATTTCAAATGTTACTCTCAGGTTAAATCAACTTTTTGAAAGCATTAAGGCAGAAATTGGCCTGAGGCAAAGTTTAGTTTTAGTCTACTTACAAGTTAATTAGGGTAAACAACTGATTAGCTCTCCCACATGCTCACATCAGAATGAAAAGTAGTTATTAATGGACTGATAACTGCTCCTAAAAGTGTCCCAGGAGATAAAGCTGTCACAGGATGTAAACTCCATTAGACAGGGCAGGAGAGTAAAAGGTACAGAGCTGGCCTGTTACAATAAGCAGCAGGTTTGAGTTGATTGTGTGTGAGTCTAGAAATAACCCTTTTATCCCAGGGAATGAAACTGTTAATTAATTTTGGCTAAAATAGGCTAGTCCAGTCTAATTAAATTGTGTGCTATAATTCAATTCTGTATACTCTAAAGGTGGCAATCATGGGAATTAACCAGTGGTAGACTAACTGCTGTGCTTTGAGGACAAATTAGTTCCCTAAAGGCAGTTGGGGTACATAAATATGATCGGTTGTTAAAATGCTTCCAACTATGTGTTTCCAAAACAGCTTGTCCACAGTGCAAAAATAGCAGTGTCTAAATCTATCATTATCAGTTCTTTCTTGAGGGGTAAATTAATAGTTATAAGAAGCAGGTAGAAACCTTGAATAGAATTTTGCATAAATAGGTCTTGATTCTGAAGTGTATGAAAACTAAGTTCTTGGGATTCTCAAAACCTAGACATTTTCTCTGGATTTTCAAATGCATCAGCTAAAAAGGACCCCTTTCCTTTTCTATGACCCACAGTTAAGAGAAGAGGAGACAAAAGAGATCAGAAAGTGAAGAGGTAAGAATACTTTATAAAGAATAAGATAAGTTGCTTCAAATTTAGTTATGTGACCTACTTAAGAATATCAATCCAGGTGATGTTTCAAAGTCCTGGGACTCAATGATTTAAAGGCTAAGAATCAAGAAATCCTATCCTCCAAAGGACC